CTGCAACCCCAGCAGCTGGGTTAGAATCAGCGCCCGCCCGGCGATCAAGGGCTGCAGCGGCCAACGCCGAACCCCAAGGGAGCGGCCATGGGGCTTGCTCGCTTCCCCTGGCTTCTCCCCTCCCCAGCCAGGCACGGGCGCCCTGGGCTGCTTTGTGTCCAAGCTCTGCGCCCCCTCTCCCCCGCTAACACGGATTGAAACTGCAACCCCAGCAGCTGGGTTAGAATCAGCGCCCGCCCGGCGATCAAGGGCTGCAGCGGCCAACGCCGAACCCCAAGGGAGCGGCCATGGGGCTTGCTCGCTTCCCCTGGCTTCTCCCCTCCCCAGCCAGGCACGGGCGCCCTGGGCTGCTTTGTGTCCAAGCTCTGCGCCCCCTCTCCCCCGCTAACACGGATTGAAAAGCTGGTTCCGTCTTCTCCTGGCCCCCGCCCTGCCGGCTAGTCTGTGCTCTGACTGCAAGACTGCGGGGAGGTGGGGGGCGGTGTCAGGCCGATACAAAAGCAGGACCCAGAGCTTCTCCAGCACTTGTCCCCCCCTCCCCGCTGCTGGGATCTAGGCCATACTGTGCTAGTTTGTAGGAGCTAGCGCATGCTCGTGGCTGCCACGCAGCAGTCCAGGGGGCAGAGACCCAGCGAAAAGCTTCCAAAACATCCCTCCTCTGGGAAAGCAATTCCTGGCAGAAGGCTGAAAAAATCGCACAGCGAGGTTCTGGGCCCCGTTCTCTTGTGGGGGGAGAGTTCATATTTTTAAGCCTCTTTTCTAGGGGGTGCCTGCCCTTCTGGCACAGTACTGGGTCACTGTGGCCCAGATTCCAAGGGGGCATTTCCCTTCCTCCTGCCAAACACACTGGGCCCAGGGATTGTCTGGGGACCAGTGAGGGGCACCCCTGGGGAGCCTGGAGTGTGGCTGACCCCATGGAAGAGGTTCAAGAGCTCCACCGAACGTGGCTGTAGGCCCGCATGGCGCTGACTCTGGACCCATAGCGAATGCAAGGTTTGTCTTATGAGCCAGCCCCCAGCTGGGGATCAGCTCCTCCTGCTGTTCCAAATGGGTGAGGACCAGAGAGCTACCACAGGAGGGAAAGGAAACCTCACAAGCTTCCCACAGGCAGTCCTCCCCCATCCCATCTTCAGCCCAAAAGGCAAACCCAGAGACAGACACATGCACTGAGAGCAATTATATTGCAGCCTGAAGGTTACAAGTCTTACCAGTCAGCAGCACAGGAGAATACAGGTGCAGCTGCCCTATGACCGCAGCTCTCCTCACAGCAGGCCAAAGGAAAGACAAAATGCCCAGGAGTCCTGCATGGGGCATAAAGAGAAGAGCAGGGCTACTAGGCTCCATGAAGGGTTAGTGAATCCGTTGAGAGCCGCCCCTGTTGCTA